GCGCAATGGACATGGGTTATTAAATTGAGTAGGTGTGTTTTTTGTGCTCCTGGTAACGGACGGACCAGTGGGGCGTGGACTACATCCTGCTTCGCCCTTAACCCAATAGCGATAGCCTTAGAGGGCGAAGCCTTATACGAAATAGAACTGGGGTTACGTATTGTAACCCAGCTTCTATGAGTATAGGCGCAGCCCTCTAAGGTTCGGGCCCCACTGGCTCCGTGAATAGCTGAAGAAAAGCTGTTGGCGTGGGAGCAGATGGTCGGGCCTACTTCCTATTTATACGGAAGTGAGGCTGTAGGTGGGGCCCACGTCATAGGTGGGCGTGGATTAAGTCTGTCAGTGCTGCACACGTGCAGTGGGATTACCCAATAGCGATAGCCTTAGAGGGCTGCGCCTATACTCATAGAAGCTGGGTTACAATACGTAACCCCAGATTTAGAGGGAAGATATGATTGGTCAATTGTACTGTCATTTGACATTACTCTCTCGTTCAGTTACTATAGCGGGCCCTCTGTGAATCGCAGAGGGCCAGACGAGCTTCTTTCATGTAACCCTTCACATTCAACAGAGACTGAACAGGCAGATTCGAAGGATTTATTTCTTTGGAAATGTTATTTTAAATACAATTAAATCAAGTTTTTTTTCGGTAAAACTAATGAAAAATATAACAAAAATAATATTAAAAAAATATATATTTAAAAAATATATATATTTTTTAAATGTTTTTAAATATTATTTTTTAGAATATCTTAGGCCCTCACAGAGGGCCTAGAGGGCCCTGACGGCTCACCACTGGTTATTATTTTTTGTAGATTTGTTGAGTACGTGTTTCCCCATATTTCGGAGCAGTAGTAAAGGTAAGGGAGAAATAGACTGTTATAAAGAGTATCTTTTCTTCAAGAATGTTCTTAGTATGATACAAAATACATATTGTTTTTGACAGTTTAGTCTGTACATAATTTATATGGTGCTTCCAATTGAGTTTTTCGTCAACAAGCAGTCCTAAAAATGTACATGCACCAACTTTTTCTATCTCGGTATTACAAATCTGTATAATGCAGTCATTTCTACTCTCAGACTTTGTATTGAATAACATGTCATTTGTTTTGGCCACATTAAGGGATAATTTATTAACTGCAAACCAGTTAGATAGTATTTCTAATTCTGCATTCACAATTTTAACAAGATCGCCAAGATTATGATGGGAGCAGAGAATTCAAAGTTCAGGTTCAGCCTCAATATATTTGGGGAGAATTCAAATGAGCCGTCTTTATTTGTAGACAGCCAAGCCCCTCCTGTGTTCGGTGAAGCATTATATGCTTACAAATCCAATGTAGGATATAAACACGACTAAACTGCAATGATAGCAAAGCTGTGGCTTGTGTTTTTGGGGTAATGAATTCCAAATCAGCCCAACCATCACTCATTGGCTGACAGCCAATCTTGCATTTATTGACATAGAGGAGCCTTATTGTTTACCTTTTTAATATCATTTTTTGTAATTTTCAATTGCTTGGTTTTCGTGAAATTAGCCTGTTTTCCTATTAAAGTGTAACAGATTGATGCATCTCCACAGATCATCTTAAAGCAGGGGTGGGGAACCTTTTTCCTCTCAAGGGCCATTTCAATTTGTTCAACATCCTCCGAGGGCCGTACAAATTATTGACCTCTGCTAAAAAATACTAAAATCACAGCCCATTCATTTCGCCTTTCTTTCATGCTGTGCAAAGAAAAAGCAACCTCTTAATCCAGATATCTTACCATGACTCGCGCATGCATGCACGTGCACGGTGTGGCATGACCACCACAACAGAAAGATATGGACACAAGATGTGTGCAAATGTATTTAGTTTCCTTTCCATGTGAACATGATTTAAGTGGGGGGGGGGGTCCTCACCTCCTCTAGGGGGGTCCGGGGGGCATGCTTCCCCGGGAAGATTTTTTTTTTAAATGTTGAAGTTAAAAGCATCAATCTGGTGCACTACATCTCTCAACACCCATATGAAACAGAACTGTAAGCAGATTTCTTTTTCTTTATGGATATTCTACAAATCACTCCCCTTTCAAACTGTATTCTTGTTTATTAATAACAACTTTTTTTTACTGTCATATAGTATTTTATACCTGTTTACTGTATTCTCTTATTTTTTTATAACTATAATGATCATATAAAGATGTGCCTTTACCTCACTGCTTGGAGAAAAAGCTTCTTATATTCGTTAGCATAGCTAGCTAACCAGATGCTAATAACAACAAAGTTATTGACTGTATGATCAGTATGACAGATGAACAGATCGCCATTGGGCTTTCAACTAAAGACACAGCCACGCAGAAACTGCGGCATGTGTACGGCTCCTTATGGTTACTGCAATTTTTGGAAGTGGCGGAGCGGCGTTCTGGTGCTCTCCTGCAGAACTGCACCCCTGTCAGACGAGACATATATCACGTGATGACACGTTAGACTCGTGTTGTGTTCAAGGACCCTGACCTTGGCCAGGAAAAATAGGCACTCGCTTTTTTAATTTTTTTGCGGTCTAGATTTCTTTTTTTCTTTTTTGCGTGTGTTTATAAATTACCTCGAGGGCCGTTCCAAATGGTCTCGCGGGCCGTATACGGCCCGGGGGCCGGAGGTTCCCCACCCCTGTCTTAAAGGCTTTGGAATCCCCCCCATTGTAGTTAAAAAACGGTCAAAACTAGGGCCCCCAAACAGCATCTTGCATAGGGCCCCCAAAAAGCTAGAAACGGCCCTGTGGTGATGATGTTCAGGAAAGGGAGGTGGTGGTTTGGTGTGGAGTAGAAGAGGATGGGAAAAAAAACACAAAGAAAAATGGTGAACAAAACACACAAAAAAAACCTGAAATAATCAATGAAAGACCACAAGGTGATTTGGCAAAAGAAAATGTAGAGACAGATGAAGTCAGTAAAACACAGGAGGAAGATATGGATAGTGAACCGCATATGGAAGAAACAGGAGAGGAGAAGAGAAGAGAACATGGGGTGAGCAGGTGGAGGTTGCTGAGATGGAGGAGGAGGCGGCAACAGAAATGATGAGTAAAAAAAAGACTGCTACTAAACGCAGCGGGAAAAAAAAAAATCTATCAACCGTTGCAAAAAACAGTAAAGTAGTGAGTGAGGGAAGGAAGGAAGAGAGCAAGGGCAGAGTGGGGATGAGTGTGTGTCTGACAGCAGCGATGTGCAAGGTTTTAATTTGAGTAATAGTCAACAAAAAAAGATGTAAACAGCTGAAATTATTACAAAAATTCAGTTCAGGGTGCACTGGTCAGGTCCCACTGGTCAGGTCCCACTGGTCAGGTCCCGGTTTCTCAACATAAATGAGATGGATGCTCCCTCTAGCTTCTTCTTCGGCCTGGAGAAAAAGAATGGGCAGGGGATAGCAAGTTCGAGTCCCACTGCAGTCAGCATGTCGTTGTGTCCCTGAGACACTTCACTCCAAATTGCTCCTGTGGGGATTGTCCACAGTATGTAAGTCGCTTTGGATAAAAGCGTCTAACAACTAACATGTAATGTAATGCTGTCAGACACAGGGCAGGAATGAACAGAGCCAAGCCAGATCAGGAGGCGAGCTGTGAGGTTTTATTCCATCCCCAGGGGTACTCAAACTTTTTTATTAAAGGTCCACTTGTGAATTGTATATGGGGCAGCAGCATCTCGGCTGCTGACAGGAAGAGACTGAACATGTATGATCTGTCCCTTTTTAACTGCTAAATGCTTTGTTCTGTTCCCCAGCTGGTGTCTGTGAGTGCCTGCTGTTTGCTATGAGCAGGTCTGTAGATTACAGTTCTTTACAGCCTACGACTACGCTGAGAGTTTAACAGATTATAAAAGTTGAGGGTTGGACAAATTAATTAGTTTTAAAGCTGTGAAAACTGAGGGAGCTGAGGGAGCTGAGGATTCAGCTGATCGTTCATCACTACCACACCAAGGGTGTAAAAAACCCTATATATAAACTAATACTATGTATTATACAGTGTGTATTAGCGCACACCTTACTTTGTAGCCTTAATATCACAACATATTAAAACATACATGTTTACTCAATAAAAACATTGAATACCCTATTCCCAACTTAATCAACTATCAAATGTGTTGTCTACTCTGACTAGGCTCATAATGAATTGCAATTGATTGGCACAACAACACTTTAGATCCACATGGTTTCATATGTTAAACTGGATCTTCCTCTGAGCTCAGCTCATTCTGCTGCTATATGTCAATAAAGGTAAACAGACTAAACTTCACTATGATGTCCTGTAAGCACAGCTCATACTGTAAAACATGACGAGGAAGGGCTTGAGTTATCACAGGTTTCTTCCCCACTTCTTACCATTTTACATGTCTTCCTGTGACTACTGCAAAATAGCTGCCATTTCCCCAGGGATCAAGGAAGCTGTGCTGCAAGCACTAGTCATAATCCTGCCTCAGATTTTTGTAAAGATAAAACATCCTTGTCAGCATAAATTGTAGTTCCTGTTTCACTAAACGTCTGTTCCAGTGCAGGAATTATTGCAATCATCTCAGGCTTTGCTTCCAGCAGCTGAATCTCTGTTGGGTAAGTTCCATGCACTGGTGGAAGAAGTACTCATCTGTTTAATGTTCGTCATATATACATCTGAACCTGGATAATAATTATTAATAAGGTGGACCTTTTTTATTACTTCATATACTGCTGTGTACCTTAACCACATGAACTTGATTTACATGTTGTATACATAATCTAAATAGAAGTAGCTAGAACCTAAAGCTTTGATAAAAATGTAGTTGAAGGTACAATATTTGACTGTAGCTGTGAATGATGCTTAAGTTTAGAGAAAAGCTGGTGTTCAGAAGCTGGACCACTGTGAGCTTAAGATTCTCATGCATGTCCACACGAACACATCCTTGGCCATGTTGTGGTGACCTGACCCTGATTTAGAGCCACACATTACAGCACCGTTTCAAATTGTTCTTCATACAGGAAACACTATCCCAAGAGTTCCTTTCAAATTGAATTCATTTGCCTTTATTATGAAAAGAAGAGAACATTGTATTTTATATATGCCTACAGCCATTTGCAAACAGACCCTGTGTAATTGGCAAAACATATGCCAAAAGAATGTAGAATAAATAATTCAAACAGGTTTTCTATACACCTGACCAGAAATTGCAGACAGGTCCTCACATTTCATACAGTTTGGTAGTACAATATTTATTTCAGTTGAAGAGTTAAAAGTTGAGCTACAAACTTCAGGTTGTCTTTAGCCACCAAAATTAAGATTCAATAATGCAACAAACACTACAGGACTGGCAAATCAGATCAAATACATATGTATACACACATATATGTATATATGTACACACACACACACACACACACACACACACACTGCTGCACTAGACTTCAGATGGTGGACAGTGAGACGCTGCTGTGCAGACTGAAGGACACATTGATAGACACGGCAACATAATCATAGAAAAAAAAGAGAGCTAATTAGCTGATTCATTACCATCCGTATGAGGAATGCAGATAAACACACTGTTCTCATAAGCCTGCATGAAGGGGGCCAAACAAAAAAGTAGTCTCGGGGGGGGGGGGGTAATACATTTTTAGTAATCAATAACAGGACAGTGTGACAATAAGAATGATGCTTTATTTATTTTTGGTAGTGCGGCTCTACTATGTACAGTACAAATATGGGAAACTTCCTCTTGTTCTGCTCACAGAGACATGTCAATCGTCCCTGTCCTGTCTATTGGAGGGGGGGGGGGACACAGTGGAGTTTGAGGACATGGCAGACAGTCTGACAGGCCTGCAAATACAGGAGGACAAGGGGGGGGGCCAAGTGAAAGTGGTTTCCCTCTCAGCAGCATCCTCCTGACGATGGTTTGACAGTAGTGCCGGGGGTAAGCTTTACGTTTGGTTTGTCCCCTCCTCCGGCTGTGGCCCCGGGGCCCATCCTCTTCTTGATTTCAGCAGCCATGGTCATGAAGGCCTGCTCCACATTGGTGGCGTTCTTGGCGCTAGTTTCCAAAAAGGGGATGCCCAAAGAGTCTGCAAACTCCTGCACATAGCAGAGGAGCACAGAGCACAGATTGTGGATATAAATTAGGCTTTTACTTTATATTATTTAATTAGTGAACAGTAATAACACATTTAAACACGACATGACCCTGCATGATAGCAAAAACAGGTAGGAACACCTAAGCTTTAGACTCAGCCTTTAGACTTGGCCTATAGTTCACCCTGTGTTAGCTCTGACTGTTAGCGATGCTTGCTAGTGTAAACACAGACCGCGACGGATAGCGACATTTCTGATAGGGCCGTGGGTGTAAAGCCAGCCCAACATTTTGTAATGTCGTCATGACCACATCAAATCTGGATACCTCCGTTTTTAGAGATGTGGGTAAGTAGGAAAAGAGAGAGGGTTTTATTTTCTGACACTTTGTGAGTCTCCTACACACTGGGGACACTATGTATAAAAGACATCAAAAAGTGCATATTGCATGACCTTTAAGCTCATTGTGTTTGTCGTTAACTGTGACGTACATGAATATCAGGTCACATTTCATGACAAATTCATGCATAAAACCAGGAAATTCCAAGGGGTTCCCATACTTTTTTTTGCCACTGTATGTATCCCCTTTGGCTGAAGTAGAGAGCAGCGTGTACTTCCAAACCCTCTGCTCTGCCCCTCTTCTTGGCTAACTTTCACAAGACATCTTCCAAAATGTCAAACTAAAGCAGAGACACGGACTCCCTACAAGAGAGGAGTGAGAAGGTTTTTGTACACCAGCTTTACCTTGGCTGTTGTGTAGTCCACCACCTTCTTTGTTGTCAGGTCACACTTATTCCCAACCAATAGCTTGTTGACATTTTCACTGGCATAGCGATCGATCTCCTGCAGCCACTGTTTGACGTTGTTGAAGGACTCCTAAAACAGGGATCAGTTAAACATTAGAACTGAGCAACCAGATGTGGCAGGACTGTTTGTGGCTCTATGAGCCACCACAAGGCTGCATTGTGTGGACAGTAATAACAACCTTTGTGCAGAATGAGGATAGGATCAATGTTTTGAGGGAAGTGAACAGAAGCTTAATTCTCAAATAGTAAGATGAAGAAGACACTTCATTAAGGAAGTGTCTTAAGGACAATTCAGCTTTTCACTCGGTTAGTATATAAGTATACAGTGGAGGAAATAATTATTTGATCCCTTGCAAATTGTGTAAGTGTGCCCACTTACAAAGAAATGACCAGTCTATATTTGTAATGGTAGGTTTATTTTAACAGTGAGAGTAAGAATATCAAAAAGAAAATCCAGAAATTGACATTAAATAAAAGATACAAATTGATTTACATTTAACCATGGGAAATAAATATTTGACCCCCTTGTAAACATGTGTTAGTACTTGGTAGAGAAACTCTTGTTGGACGCACAGAGGTCAGACGCTTCTTGTAGCTGGTCTCCAGGTGTGTGCACATCTCAGGAAGGATTTTGGTCCACTCCTTTTCTGAAGACCCTCTCTAAATCCTGAAGGTTTTGAGGCTGATGCTTAGCATCTGGAAGCTTCAGCTCCCTCCACAGATTTTCTCTGGGTTTAAGGTCTGGAGACTGGCTTGGCCCCTCCATCACCTAAATGTGCTTCTTCTTTAGCCACTCCTGTTTTGCCTTGGCCGTATGTTCAGGGTCATTGTCCTGCTGGAAGACCCCTCCATGACCCATTTTCAGTGCCATGGCTGAGGGAAGGAGGCTATCGGCCAAGATTTCAGGGTATACAGCCCCGCACATCCTCTCCTCGATGCAGTAAGTCCTCCTGTCCCCTTAGCAGAGAAACACCCTCAAAGCATAATGTTTCCACCTCCATGCTTGACGGTGGGGATGGTGTTCTTGGAGTTATAGTCAGCATCTCTCTTCCTCCAAACACGGCGTGTCGAGTTGATGCCAAAGATCTCTATGTTGGTCTCATCTGACCACATCACCTCCCAAGCCTCCTCTGAATCATTCAGATGTTCATTGTCAAACTTCAGAAGGCCTTTCATGTTCTTCTTGAGCAGGGGGGGGGGGGGGGGGGGGGGGGGGGGGGGGCTGCAGGGTTTGATCCATTATGGTGTGGTGTGTTACCAATAGTTTTCTTGGTGACTGTGGTCACAGCTGCCTTGAGATCATTAACAAGTTCCTCCCGTGTAGTTCTTGGCTGATACCTCACCTTTCTCATGATCATCACTGTATGTATGGATGTTTTCATTTTGCATGGCAGATATGTGATGGCTGATAATTGAATACATAAACGGACTAGATGGATAGAGTATGAGGAGTTGGCGTACTGACCTGGTCTGTGACATCGTACACTACGATGATCCCATGAGCCCCTCTGTAGTAGCTGGAGGTAATGGTGCGAAACCTTTCCTGACCCGCCGTGTCCCACTTTAAAAGGAAAACATAAGTACAGCTTTGACAGGAGACAAAGACCAAAGCAATACAATTGTTCTCACTACCCAGCATTTTCATTTTTTGTTTAATATTCATCATCTTATCGGTAAAACAGGCTCTCTGCTGCTCCTGGCACATTTAGCTTCTCCACTTGAAGCCCTTATAGCAACTCAACGTAGCATTCATAGTTCATCTCATGTATTCACTCTTTAAATGCATTGCTACAAAAACTCCTGCACATACATACTGTGCTGCTGCCAAATACTCACTAGAACACTTGATGTGGATCATCTAATGCAGGGGTGTCAAACTCAAATACACAGTGGGCCAAAATTAAAAAATGGGTACTAGTCGAGGGCCGGACTGGTTCAATGTTTATTGCAAAACTTATTGAAATGAACTTATTGCACATATTAAACCTGGAACTAACAAAGCTTAAATGATTGCCTATCATAGCATGATAATCAGTTGCATTAATTTCTTATGGCTCTATCTGCAGCTTTTCCGGAGTCGTTTCTTATGATTATTCATTTTTCCACAGGCCAACAACAGCTTCAAAAAAACTATTTCCCTCAAAGAAAAAAACAAACCAGCCCTGTTGTCGCAAGAAAAAACGTGCAGAAGGAAACATCCATGTAAACTCAGTGTGCTGCTCTGTGATGCTAGTTTAAGCCAGATACTTGGCATCTCATCTTGGGTGCAAGTTCATCAATGTTTGGGGTCAGGCTCTGAGCTGAGGAAATCCTCAGGATGGAGTGAAGGTGTGCGTGCAATATACCGGCGGGCCAGATCTAATAGTAATTCAAAATTATCCTGCGGGCCGAAATTAAATCCACCAAGGGCCTGATTTGGCCCCCGGGCCTTGAGTTTGACACATGTGATCTAATGCCCATGTCCTAACAATGATTCTCATCTCTGAGCGACTCATGGAAGAACAAAGAGAAGAGAGATCAGCAGGATACTTACAATCTGAAGTTTAATGGTCTTTCCATCTAGTTCTATGGTTCGTATTTTGAAGTCCACACCAATAGTGCTAATGTAACTCTCTGTGTATGTGTCATCCTGCAGAGAGAAACAGTCAGAGTTAGATGGTGCACGCACACACACACACGGACTGCACAATGTACAGAAAATCTATTGTTTTTGCAATATCAACATTTGCAGTATACGCAAAGGTTGCTGGTACTGCGATCAATGATAGCCTATTTCATGTGCGATGTATTCATGCTCTGCATGTTAAAATACGTGGCAAATCAGATGAAGGCCTCCTGCTCTAGATGTCAAGATTCAAAGGTGTGTTGTCATAACATATACACAACTATGGTGAAGTGAGGTCATGTATGAAAAACTTAGATAGCAGGTTCCTTTGGTGTTATTTATTAATATTGCACTTTTTATATTTTTATTTGGTGTTATTTATATTAATAAATAACACCAAATACAAATATAAAAAGTGCAAGCTCAGGTGTGGGATGAAACTGTCCCTCAGTCTTGTGGTTTTTGTCCTGATGCTGCGGTACCGCCTGCCAGACGGCAGCAGACAGAACACGTAGCCTGCTTGCATGATCCGAGACTTGCAGTGGCAGCGTGCAGTCGGCCACTGTTTACCTTCCTTATATCTGTTAAAAACTACAGGTGCTGCCATAGTATAACCATCCCTAACTAATTAATTAAATTAAATTGCTCTTTTTTGTCATTTCACAGTACAGGTACTATGTAACGAAATTGTTTCTCTGCATTTGACCCATGCTAGTGTTAGGAGTAGTGTGCTGCCATTATGTCCGGCGCCCGGGGAGCAGTGTAGGGAACGGTGCCTTGCTCAGGGACACCTCGGTAGTACTCGAACTGGTGACCTTCCAGTTGCCAAGCCAAGTCCCTATCGACTTCGCCACCACCGCCCACACATCAGTGGCCTGTACGACGAAGCCAGTTCAACAGACCCTGGATATCTTTGAGTTATCTGGCTTAGCTAACCCTAACAAACGAGATCTCGCTAAGCGATCCTACGACGCTGGTTATCAACTCGGTAAATCAACCCAGGGTTTCTCTGTCCGGCTGAGAGCACGTTCACGTGAAAGGGGCGGCGTTAGCAACATTTGACCAATCACAAACATGGAGAAGCGTACTGACAGCGCAGCGTCATACTTCATGAATGAATAGTAAACTATGATGTTAGACAAATATGAAGAAGTTAAACATCCATGACTTAACCTGTTAAGCCCCGAGCCTGTTTTTCAGGTCTCAGACTCGAAAATGACATTTCCAGAACAAAAGACCATAACTACACTTCTAAAAGGGGAAAATTAATAATCTTTGTTAATGATAAACCTGCGAGTTGGATGTAGAAAAGTCAGAATCAATATAGATGTTTTTTTATTTTAAAGAAAATTCAGATTGAACATAGTAAAAAACTGTAAATTATAGTGTCCGTCCAAAAATTCTTTTTTACTTTAGTGAAAACCACCCTTGAATGATGGGATGGTAGACTAAAAGCTTTAGGAATCCAAAGTACAACATATAATAAGAACCCTGTATCAAGATTGATGCAAAACAAGTGACATTTGACCTTTTTAAGAGAGGATTAGCAAAAAAAACTCCACCTCTGGGGTGATTTGGGTGGAAATGGGTGTTTTTGCCATTTCTCTGGAACCCATTGGTCGATTTTGATGATTGACATCTCTTTTTAACCGTTAGAGCCAATAGAATCGAAGGGGAATTTCCACATACACACCAACGTTACCAAAAAAAAGTGGGGGCTATGCGCATGCAGTTTCCCCAAATCAAAACCTGTCTCACGCTCTGAAATCTGAAATGTAGGTATATTGCTTATAGATTATCAGAAATCATTTCAAAGTGACACAGACATATTAGATTAACGTATGGATTAACCTTCAGCAGCGTTTTTTATCGTTTTAATGCCATTGAAGACAACTTTTGATCAGACAACGACCAAGGTAAGACCTATTCTCGTTTTGGCTACCAAGCGCCACGTGTTTTGATTAGGGCTGTCAGTCGATTAAAATATTTAATCGCGATTAATCGCATGATTGTCCATAGTTAATCGCGATTAATCGCACATTTTTTATCTGTTCTAAATGTACCTTAGAGGGATATTTTTCAAGTTTTTAAATACTCTTATCAACATATGAGTGGACAAATATGCTTTATATGTTTGTTTATTATCATTTGAACAATGACAAATATTCTCATGAATATTAAACACAACAACCTCTGAACATTACAAATATTCGCCTTAATTCAACCTGGAACCTCTCTCATACAATAATACAGTGTGTGTGTGTGTGTGTGTGTGTGTGTGTGTGTGTGTGTGTGTGTGTACTGTGATGGATCGTTGGAGCTATGTGCAGCTCAAGGCATAGCTGCTCGAACGGGAGCTGCCTGGACGCTGCAATCATGTTGCGCGCACTATCCGTGCTGAGTGTGCTGACTTTTCGTACAATGTCCCACTGTCTGGCTACCAGCATAAAGTCAAGTGCTCGGCGCAATTGTCGGTGAAATGTCGCTCCTCTGTTTTCATAGAAACAGCTCCTTATATCCGTTAGCGCAGCTAGCTAGCACCAGATGCTAACAACAACAACAACACGTAAGGTGTGCCTCGCTCGCGAGCCGCGCCACACATACACACACCCTCCCGGTCCTCCCGATGGCCAGTCCGGGCCTGCCGGTGAGCGTGGAAGTGTGGTCTGCCACAAGCGGGCGGCAGGAGCGGGGCTGTCAGCATCAGCTTGTAGATGGTATTTTAAACTCGATGCGCTCTGAAACTACGGGGCGGCCGAGGACAAAAAAATACACATGCGTTAATCGCGTTAAAATAATTAGTGGCGTTAATTTTTTTTTGCGTTAACGCGTTAACTTGACAGCCCTAGTTTTGATGTCTGTTTTTGTTTATAAAGTCGCGAGTTCTTATCATGGAGTGATGATATATATACCTATCGATTCTGTGTACTCTCACGATGCTAATCGATGGGTTGCATTTGCATTTACGATAAGTAATAAGGGTGTTATACCGTGTTTTCTGTGCTAACGGCGTTAGAATTTTTTCGCTCAGGACTAATTCAGAGGCTCAGTGTTAGCCTTGTGTTTTTTTTTGCTAAAAATTGTTCATATCAGTTAGCTGAGTTACTTCCCGTTACATGGATATGAAACATTCATAGTTTATTAAATATTAAGAAGCCCTCAGACGCTGTTTCCTGCAGATTATGCGTTTTTCCGCCCGGGGGCGGGTCGAAGGGGTTCAACAGGTTAAACACTTAATCCAGGATAAAAGCAACATAATTGCACCTGGAAGGAAGAACAGTTGGTAAAAAAAGTTACGTAATGTTACTTTAATCCGGTAACATAAGTAAGCTTTCTTAACGCTAATGTAATAATAGTCAGATTGCTCTGAAGACGGGAGGTGATATTCTATTAATTTTCATGTGCACACAGTCTGTGATTTTTGCCGGACCTTTTTCCTGCATACAGCAGTTAAAACTGTATTTATGTTATCCTCAGGGTTCGTACGGGTGCTGGAAATCCTTGAAAATGCTTGATATTGTACGAGGTGTTTTCAAGGTTTGAAAAGTGCTTGAATTTTGGGAATGGTGCTTGAATTTGGGATAAAGTGCTTGAAATTGTAAATGCTTTACTTCTTTATTTTCTTTTAATCTAAAAAGCGAAGTCGGAGCGCGCTTAATTGCTTCGCTTTACATAAAACAGCTCCGCTCCGGCCTTGCCGCGCTATGCGCGTGACCGGCAAGTGTTTTTGTAACATATGACCTGGGCATTCTGATGAGTGATAGATGACACTATGCCAGGAGGTTGCCGTTTTCAACGAGCGTTGGCTAGCAGAAGACAAATACAAGCCATGGCTAAGACGAGGGTCAAGCCCACGAGTAGCCTCCTGCAAAGTTTGCAAAAATAACAATGCGAGAGTCTGCGCTGACGAGCCACATGAAAGGTACGCCGTAGTAGAGCATTTTAGATTAGGCTAACGTTGCTTGTTACGTTTGTTTAAGCTAACGTTAGCAAGCTGAATAGCGAACTCGATGAGGGATAATAATAATTGCAGGGGACAATCATTTCAGAGGAGCGTACCTATGTTATGTCAGTCGCCATCCTGTGGTGTTCAGCGGATCAAGCACTCACGGCATTTTGTGTTATAGTCACGAAATATAATCTATTGATTTGACACAGAGCGATTTTAAAAGCAATGTATTTCTACTGGTAGTATGTTTCGTGCCTAAACCAAATGTGACTTTCTCTATCGAAATCAGTCACATTGACCCGAAGACACATTTTTGTTTGTATTACTGGTCTGGGGGAAGCTCGCGAGTGTGTTTGTGTTTGTGTAATTTTGAGTTTGTGTACCGGGGAAACACTGGCTGTTGTTATGCTTGCTGTGATGTTAAATTACTCCGTTCTCTGCTTGTAATTATGCCGTTACAAGCTTCAAAGTTGTATTTATCATCTGAATTTGCCGAAACAAGTTTAATATTCTGAAAGCCAATACTTTGTTTATTTGAAAACAGATGAAAACAAACTGTCTTTTATATAAAATTGAAGTATTATACAAGTAAAACTACATGTTGCTTTAATCCCATGTAATTGTAGAATGAACAGTCTTCCTTTGAAGATGTATAAGTCAGGTGTCTTGAGTAGTCAAAATTACCTACAAATCATTGTACACATTTGTAACTATTATTTTCCACTTGTTACCATTGTGAGTCTATTTTTATGCAGCTCTGCGTGATTTTGTGGCTACAATTCAGGCTAATATACTACCAGAGGTAGAAGAAGTACTCAGATATTGTACTTGAGTAAAAGTAGAAGTACTCAGATCTTGTACTTGAGTAAAAGTAGAAGTACCAGAGTGTAGGAATACTCTGTTTCAGTAAAAGTCCTGCATTCAAAATGTTCCTCAAGTAAAAGTAGAAAAGTATTATCATCAAAATATAGTTAAAGTAGCGACAGTAAAAGTAGTCATTGTGCAGATTGATCCATTTCAGAATAATATATATGATACGTTTTATAATGATTGATCATTAAAGTGTTCTCAAAGCTGGTAAAGGTGCAGCTAGTTTGAATGACTTTGTATACTGCAGCTTGTGAATTTACTCCAGGTGGAACTAAAGTCTGATTTAACACTTGGTTATATTTCACATCATTCATCCACATCTGTAAAGTAACTAAAGGTATGAAATACATGTAGTGGAATAAAAGTACACAATTTACCTCTGACTTATGTTTACTGCCAACCTAAAAGTACCTCAAAAATAGTAATTAATAATGTATTGAAAAAAATAAAATAATGTATTGAAAAGTTATTTGGCTGATTGTTTTATGTTGGCTCAGCCAGGTTATATGGGATGCCCAGTCTACGTACAGATCACTAATTTTGAAATATTAAACTTAGTTTTCTTTTCTTAAATGTTTCATCCTCATGTAGAATGCTATCACGAAACACACATTTGGTTGTTTATAGCATAAAGAACATCTGATTTAATGTGAGGTAGGGAAATAATCATTTGAGTACAAGTATGTGTATATAAATATGTAATTTACAACAGCTGTAAGATGCTTGAAAAGCTTAAAAATGCACCTTGAAAATGCTTGAAAAGTGCTTCAATTTGACTTTTGAAAAGGTGTAAGAACCCTGTATCCTGTAATATGACTCGATAGCTTTAAACTCCCCACACTGAGCTCTGATTGGTCAGCAGGCGGTGCTTTCACTGAGTTGATCTCTTATAACCTCCTCCGGAGCAGGTTAGGTGTTCAGCATAAGTTACCATGGAGATCTACCCCGGTAAGAAGTGAACCAGCGTCATAGGACCGGAAACCCAGAGTTAACCCTGAAGTTACCTCTCTAACCCAGAGTTAACCCTGAAGTTACCTCTCTAACCGCAAATCCTGCTTCGTAGTACAGGCCACAGATGCTCGGATATTTTCTGATGAAGGAGACGTCCGGTCACCCTGGTTGTGATCTGAACAATTTGTGCGTGTACAATGACAACAGTTGACTTGAGCAAGTACAAAAACCTGTCTGTATGACTCCTTAAGTGAACTGCAAATATTGTTTTTCCTAAAAAAAAAAAAAAGGATTGAGGTTCCGGTTTGCTCAGGCAGCACCACACAAGGTAACACAGCGAGCAGCAGACGTGTGACAATGCTGAATCCTAAATCATGATATTATCGGATATACCTGGCAAATAAGAACTACATGTTTTTAGCACTTTCGTCCTCTGTGAGTGTGCAACTTAAATGACATGATAAATGAATGCGTGCAGACTATTCTGTGATTATTTAGAACAGCTGGCCAGTCCAACCCTGCCCCAACAACTTTCAGTTGTATTAAAATAATTATAGTCACATTTGTTTAAAATGAAATAATTTCTCTTGTTTTCAGATATATTTATAGATGTATTTCAATAATCCAGGAAGTATGTATCTTTTTGTTTATAGTACCAGAAATGGTTGTCGTTATGTCTTAGTGATCATAAAGTAATAAACAATAAAATCATGTTGTTGGAATGTAAATAATTCATTTCATTTTTTTCTGCATAGGCTTATCACTATGTGATTTGTGTGAACCAAGCGGAAAACTCTGGGGCAGAGCTGGGAAGCCCATAAGGAAGTGCCACAAACTGCAGTTCATCTATTGGCCGGTAGAAGCAGGCTGCAGAAAGGAGCAATTTCCATAGACCCCCATGCTAAAATGCCCAACTTTACAGCAGAAATAAACTACCCCTGGATGCAATACAAATTATTCTGGATATAGTTAGATTTCACCTTCATGACAATGGATTGGGGAGTGCATTTTTTTATAACGCACCCCTTTTAGTTATATTAGGTCTTAAAGTTTTTGCATAAATTAGGGCGTGGTCACTTTGATGGACAGGTCTCTACGGTGACTGCTGCTTCTAGCTTTCTGTCCCTCTTCTAGCTCCGTTAGCTCCGTTAGCTCCAGGATGCTACAGGGGCTCAGATGCGAGGCTGATCCGGGAAACACAACTTTAACTCGGACATGTTTGTTGTGTTGGTGCCTGGTGGAGTATTCTTCATTTAAATATCGGACTTATCTTATGCCGCCTCGGCTCCGCCTCTTTGCCCTTATTTGGATCAGGCTGGAGCGTGCTGGAGTTAGACTCTGACGTCACTGTCGAGACGGCAGCGGCCGAATCCGCCTACTAAGGACTTCTCAGCAACTCTGACTGACGTCACGGACACTACGTCCATTTATATATACAGTCTATGGTGTGAACCCAAAGCAGAAACAATATATATTTAAGTGTTTGTTTAAATATTGCAAGTGATATCGTCATAGCAATATTCAACAATGTTATTGCATATTGCATGTTTTCTGATATGGTGCAGCCCCAACACATACACGCACACTCAAATAAGTGGCCAAGGTGTGGATAAAGTGAAAGAGCAGCCGGATACACAGTGGACAAACTACTTAAGGGCAAGTTCATGTTTGAGTTTGCACATGTAACCATCATATCAATTACTCTTATTATGTTAATGAGAATCACAGTTAAAGGGACAGTGTGTAGGACTGGGAGACAACTAGAGTTACAGTTGCAACAGATTCAATTATCCAAGTTTTACAAGCCTGTCACAACTATGGTGGCCTTAAAGGGGACCTATCATGCAAAATGCACTTTTGTACGTCTTTTATACATGAATATGTGTCCCCGGTGTTCCAGGGAACTCACCAAGTGTCAGAAAACACAACCCTCTCTATTTTCCTCCATACCCAAATCTCTAAAAAAGGGGCTGCAACGGATCTGATAAAAACTGATCCAGATTTGAACACTGTCCTGACGTCAGGACGGTGGCGCTACGGCTATTGGGCCAACTCTCCACCTATCAGGGGAATGTGGGGTTGGGCCACGGCCGGCCATTGCCGCTCGAAAGCGCTGGAGACGCTGTAGTACATATGCCAGGCCTGTAATTGGCGCTGTAGTCTGCCACAAAAGCAGCGAAGAAGACTTCCCGCGCATGGTTGCCATGGTTACCTTTCTGTTTATTCTCCGCTGTGGCTTTTTTTCTCCCTCCCCGAGGCAAGCGTTTGCTCCTGCTGCTTTAATTCAATGCAATCCCTCCCCGTCGAGGCAAGCACTGTAATTCTCTCCGGTTAGTCCACCAGCAGATGACAAACACCTCTCCACCTCTTCCAAGGAACGAGGGGACCGTGCGGCAGAGTTTCAGTTAGGTTTTCTTTCGCCGGTCAAGATGTCCGTTAAAGTTTAAATCTTCCGGACAAAATTAGAAAAGTGCCGGTCAAAGGTCTTCTTTGTTATTTATTGAGCTTTAAAACAAATGAATAACGACTCTATATAATAATAGGCTATAATAAAACACGGAGGACGGAGATCTATTTTTCTCCCCCTCTTCTGACTTGATCAGAACGCTCCCCTCTCCTGCAGGGGGGCGTGGTCAGCTGCAGCTCACAGAATCAGCCCCCTTGCAAAAACAGGTCTGGAGAACAGCAAATAGAGCGAAATGAGGCATGGCTAAAATGCATGATCTGCTTGGTATTTTGAAAACAGAAACGTATAAATATACCTTATATAGATATGGCCCTACAATATATCATTTAAATATAGCATGATAGGTCCACTTTAAGGTAATGTAAAACACAAAAGGCCCCTCTATAAAGAAACATGGCAGTGAACCATGGAGAACTGGAGAGGCCCCCATCCTTATGTACATTTATATATGAAGATATGACAAGACCAGTTTCAGGTAATTATACAAAGATGAAAACATAGTTATGAATATAACATTACAGCCTCCTAAATTCTGCACACTGTCCTCTTTGTATGTATTGTTGTCAAACTGAAAACCGCTTTCAACAGTAGCATATAGTAAATGCATATTTTAAAATATTGTAAGACTGCAAATGGAAAATGCATTTAAAAAAAAACAAAAAAAACAGTTTGTGGCATTTTGGTGAAACTTACTGCAAATCGAAGAAGAAGGCAAGACTTTCCAACACCAGAGTCACCAATCAGGAGCAGCTTAAATAAATAGTCACTGTGAGGAAAGGTAAAAAATAACTTTAGTCAAAGGATATCCAGAAATAGCTCAAAATAAGGTCTGTGGTTGACACACATTTAAGAGACGGATCACGTTTTGTTCAGCGGGATAATATCCACATGTCTACCCTACTTTTATAATTTTCTAATCATAAATCTAGTCGCCTGAAGCAAAATGCTAACGTTATGCTATAAACGAACTACAGCAGGGTCGCTGCTTCAACGTCACGCCAACTTAAATCATGCTATATTTAAATGATATATTGTAGGGCCATACCTATATAAGGTATATTTATACGTTTCTGTTTTCAAAATACCAAGCAGATCATGCATTTTAGCCATGCCACATTTCGCTCTATTTGCTGTTCTCCAGCCCTGTTTTTGCAGGGGGCTGATTCTGTGAGCTGCAGCTGACCACACCCACCTGCAGGAGAGGGGAGCGTGCTCTGATCAAGTCAGAAGAGGGGGAGAAAAATAGATCTCCGTCCTCCGTGTTTTATTATATACAGTCGTTATTCATTTGTTTTAAAGCTCAATAAATAACAAAGAAGACCTTTGACCGGCACTTTTCTAATTTTGTCCGGAAGATTTAAACTTTAACGGACATCTTGACCGGCGAAAGAAAACCTAACTGAAACTCTGCCGCACGGTCCCCTCATTCCTTGGAAGAGGTGGAGAGGTGGGTGTTTGTCATCTGCTGGTGGACTAACCGGAGAGAATTACAGTGCTTGCCTCGACGGGGAGGGATTGCATTGAATTACAGCAGCAGGAGCAAACTCTGGGAGGGAGAAAAAAAGCCACAGCAGAGAATAAACAGAAGGGAAACCATGGCAACCATGCACGGGAAGTCTTCTTCGCTGCTTTTGTGGCAGACTACAGCGCCACTTACAGGCCTGGCATATGTACTACAGCGTCTCCAGCGCTTTCGAGCGGCAATGGCCGGCCGTGGCCCAACCCCACATTCCCCTGATTAGGTGGAGAGTTGGCCCAATAGCCGTAGCGCCACCGTCCTGACATCAGGAACGTGTTCAAATCTGGATCAGTTTTTATCAGATCCATTGCAGCCCCGTTTTTAGAGATTTGGGTATGGAGGAAAATAGAGAGGGTTGTGTTTTCTGACACTTACAGATTCTAAATGGTACAAGTTGAAGCGTTTGTTTGAACAGTTTGCAGGAGGCAGGTACTTGCTTTCAAGCAGAACAGGGCAAACAAACTAAGCGGGAGTGTTTTACGTGTTCGGTGTAATGACGTAAAACGGCCTGGACAACTTCTGTAGTCCTATTCAGCCACATGTTAACAACCATCGTTTTTCAGACTCGTAAACTCTTCAAAAATCACCAGCGGGGTCACTGCTGATGTATTTAATGTCGTAGAACAAAACGTGATCTGTCTCTTTAATTTGTGTCAAACACAGACCTTATTTCGAGCTATTTTCCAAAATCCTATGGAGAAATTGCATTGCTTTTTGTCGAAGGAACCGGACGTGGTAAAAATGCTAACTTACTTCCGGGTTTTAGGACGCGTCACTGCGGTTCTCTATGAGCAGCTCTCAAAGGAATGAATGAGGCCCCGCCTCCCACGCTGTATCCAGTTCTTATTATACATCCATGCACTCTATAGCATGTGAGCTACACATGACTGAGAGCTGCCTCAGCACAGAGCACATGACTTTCACTGAGTCATGCTCAGCACAGAAACACTTACCTTACTTCTTCAAATGGCTAGTGCAAGTTCACGTGTTACCAGACACTCAATAGATTACCATTATCATTTTGGCTAGTACGTGAAACAATTTACTAGCCACTTGCACATTTTAGCATTTGGCTGGTTTCTAATGCTATGCCCTGCTGGGCGTAAACAGCGGATGACTGCTGCAGCTGTACGTGAGTGTGTAGCAGCAGGAAACTCTGTGACACACGCACCATTACTAACATCGGCAAAAGGGAATTTTCACTAGGCTAGGATACATTCAATCAGCTCATTCTAGCTTAGTTTAGATTGTCCCTGACAATAGAGTCTCTTTAATATGTCCTGCGCTTTAATATCCTGTAGCCTGAACGTTACACATAGCTATCCACTGATAGGTGTTAACATGAATATCCCACCATATCCATAGTAATGTTAAAAGTATCTCAGACTGGCACAAGTAGATATGAAGGCTAATGTCAGCTGATGTTAGCCGCTAACTTAGTTAGCTGCTAATATGAAGTTCTTTTCACACGGTAGTTTGTTATCACAGAGCTAAGCTCTCACACAGTGTTCTTCAGGCTGATACTTACTATTCGGGATTCATTGTGGATGCGGTGTATAGTGTATCCCTGTCTGCAGATAAACAGCTAGCTCACACTGCTCCAGAAACACAGCCGGTTGTATAGTTGTTTCTTGTTAAAAATCCAAAATGGCTGCAACTCCAACCAGGAAACAGCTACCATCAGCCAGCTGATGAGCCGAGTACGGAATATCACAGATCTGTCAGGTGGTTTTAAGATGCCGTGTGTGTCTGGGGCTTTTAACTCAGTGTACAGCCGTACATCGAACGGTAACCAGCTGTCTGTCTCTATCTGTGTGTCGTTACCGCAACAGAGCTGTCACCGGGAGGGATTACGTCATTAGTGAAACGTGGCAAAGTGCAGTCAGCTAGTGCCTGGCTGCGGTGTCTGACTGAACACAACTTCCGGTCAGACCCTACATCCATGTTCAGCATTTAAACCAAAACAGACAACGATGTTATTACCATTTCCGGTCCTTCAGTTTGCATCTAGTTCCCTGCAGGCTTCACTTCCCTGTTCATTACATCACATAGATTTATGTTTATTTATTACTGAACATAAATTACCACAATAAATGTGATCAATGTAATAGTTTTTCTAATAAATGATCTTAAAATATTATTGTCAGTATTATTGTAATAGCTGTCATTAGTGCAACTCATTTAATATCTGTTTTATTAGGAATTTACTGTTTTTAGCCCTGTAGCCTGAAGTAAATATTTGACACACACATGTAACTGTGTGAGACGTAGAGGGTCTTCCTCAGTAAACATGTATTTTACAATTTAAAGAATGTTTTGTGGAGAAAAGACAATAACATCCAGCAGTATGGAAACTCCAACAATTGTTTCTTTTTGAAGGACAAATACAAAATAATGTACCTCTGTGGTGAATATCAATCATAACAAAAACACTTAATTGTGTGCAACAACCTCTTTCCCTTTTTTTTTTTTAAACCTCAGGTTGGGGTGCAGAGGCCCCTCCACTGACTCTCCAGCAATTGAGTCTTTTGGCCCAGCTAGGAGAGGAAATTAGCAGTATTTATGATAATGTATTTACATATATTAAAAGGTGGTGCTTGGTTCTGAAATTAAGGAATTGAGTCCTGCACGTTGGGACAGATATGTCACATTTGACTGCTCGTGTTTTAATCAATATTGTGAAATTAAGAATTATTTAAAAACATTCCGTGACTTATTACACGTAGACCACAGAAACAGGCTGTGTTCCTTGATAGAACAGAGCTTTTGACTCAGGCTTAAACGTGATTATTTAACATTAGAACACACAGGACTGAAAAGAGTGACAACAGACCATACGGCTGTGTGAAATGTTGGACTAGCTGATAATAAAACATTACGAAGTCAATTGATCATACACACAGCTTTGCTTCTCCAAAACTAAAAATCAGGGCTGACTCAGCAGTAATTAGGTGTTAGAAAGTGTTACTTTGAATTAGTAAACATTGAACTCATACACTGGATAGATTCCATGATGTTGTGTTGTCTTTGAATGATGATTAAATCTCAAAACAGTTGAAAAAGGTCAATTACATTTACATTACAAGCGACAAATCAATACCATGGTGAACATCTATATGATTAAGAAAAAACCTAATAGAATATTGTTTTTATGTAATATTCAATGTGATCAGTTGGGTTGAGACACTCTTTTTCACATACCAAGCCAATACACAAGATGCCAACATGTTCAAATGAGAGCTGTGCATTATACAGTATGTGAATTGTTGGAACAAAGTTAGATAGTACAAAAATAAGTGTAACAAATCCTATGACAGAGAGGAGGCAGCCTTCTCTACTCTGGTCTGGGTGTTCTGCTGGTTCTGATGGCTAAGGCTTTCCATGGCAGACAGGATGGAGCAGAGGAGGTGCTGTGTGCGGCTCTCAAGAGCTCCACAGTGACTCTTTATCAGCTGCAGGGTGTCTCTTAAAACTGGAAACAGAGAGACTTAGTGAGTGATGAAATGCTGAGAGGAAATGTGAGTTCAGAGTGTTGCATGGTACCAGCTGACAGACGTACATGGAGACATGTGGTCAATGCAGCGGAGGAGGAGCTGACCGCTGAGCAGCACGCTGGAGGTCACAGAGGTCAGGGGCTGCTGGACCCTCACTGCTCTCTGAAAAACACACACACACACACACACACACACACACACACACACACACACACACACACACACACACACACACACACACACACACACACACACACACACACACACACACACACACACACACACACACACACACACACACACACACACACACACACACACACACACACACACACACACACACACACACACACACAAAAACCAATACAATATTTAGTTTGATCACTTGCGTGGAAAATGAATGTGGGTTTTCCTATTTTATCTTCTTATCTATTGAAGGGCAAAGAGCAGAGTCAAAGAGAAGATCTGTTCTTCCCCACAGATATGTGCCCACCTATACAGACAGCCACAGAAGTGCGCATTGTGGAGCAGGCTCACCTGGTACTCAGCAAGAGAGGATTTGACACCGGCAATATCCACAATGGGCACAGTCTGCAGCTCCATCTGCTCTGACACGGCATGCAGCTGCTGAATGAGCTGCTCCAGCTGCGAGCAGAAGACCTGAAACATAAAAAATGGATAAACACAATTTGATTTCGAAGCCACTCAAAACACTGAATCCAAACACCAAGGCAAGGTTTTCAGGAATACTGCAGTGGCACTCTTAAACAGCCAGTGTCTCTACCTGGATGTGCTGCATCAGGGAGTCACTGTGCTGCTCCTGCTTCTCCTGGCTGCCAGGCAGCCCCCTGATACTGGGTGGACAGGCTCCCCCACCCCCCCCTGCAGGCTCTACCCAGGCTCCAGAAGGGCTCTTCACTGTTGCAGAGTCCCTGTAGTCAGCTGCTGATGGACAGGATTTTTGGGATAGAGACACAAATCTTAGAGACAAACTGGATTCAATCTTGCATGGGATCATACTAGTGGTCATAGATGTTGTGTGTGTGTGTGTGTGTGGGGGGGGGGCAGGCTTAATGACTCAGAAAACGGCAATTTTCAACTAAATCTTTATTTTGATCTGAACTACCGAGACAGACAGAAGACGGACAGATAGACAGCAGACTACCTGAGGCTCTCTTCTCCTCTTCTTCTTCTGGTGTGTCCTGCAGTGCTTCCTGTGTCTCAGGCAGGGGGACGGGGGAGAGGTTGGAGCCCCCCCACTGCACAGACTCCCAGCTGGCTGTGACCTCCCTCACCTTCACACACACCAGCAAAACATTGAATCTTTAGCTGATAACTGCAGATTAAAGCTGGAAAACACCACTTCATTTGAAAGAGCTGTAACTGATTAGATCAGATGTATCAACAATGAATCTGTAAAATAGTCAAAAGTTGGTATCTGATCAAAAAATATGTAGCCGTATTAGCTCTGTATGTGATGAGTTTCATGCAGTTCAATAGTTTTTCCCCAGGTGTATTTAAAGCTCAATGTTGGCCAATGTTATCTTTATTCTACTGGATATATAGCCTGCATATTAGTTGACCAGAAAGACCATTTAAAAACATCCTGCAGTCTCTGAATAAGGTGCAGAGTCTGCACCTCATGAAAGGACCATTTGACTTTGGCCATGTTCAGAGGCCTTAACAAAGATTTACCCTCCAGTCATCCATGATCACAGTATTATTTGCTGTTGCAATATAGGACTGTTGTTACATATTTATACTCTTACTATATTTATTTTATTTTATTTAAAATTTTGGTTTTAGCTCAACTTATTCTATTACATTAATATAGTTCATTAGTTCTGCATAACTTGCACATTGGTCACAATTGTATATCTATTCTGTTTCTTCTTTTCACACTATTTCTTTTGTTCAATTGTTTATGTCTTATATACAGTGGAGGAAATAAGTATTTGATCCCTTGCATTTTTTTAAAGTTTGCCCACTTACAAAGAAATTAACGATCTATAATTTTAATGGTAGTTTTATTTTAACAGTGAGAGTAAGCATATATAAAAGAAAATCCAGAATTTGACATTATATAAAAGATAAAAATTGATTTGCATTTAACTGTGGGAAATACATATTTGATCCCCTTGCAACCAACACGAATTCTGGCTCCCACAGACCGGTAGCATAACTTCTCTTCCTTTAAAAAAGTAGTCCTAATATCAACTTGTTACCTGTATAAAAGCCACCTATCCACAGAATCAATCAATCAGATTCCAACCTCTCCACCATGGGCAAGACTAAAGAGCTGTCTAAGGACCTCAGGGACAGGATTGTAGACCTGCACCAGGCTGGGATTGGCTACAAGACCATCAGAAAGCAGCTTGGTGAGGAGGAGACAACTGTTGGTGTGATTATTCAGAAATAGAAGAAACACAAAATGAGCATCAATCAACAATCAATCGCCCTTGGTATGGGGCTCCACACAGGATCCCCTCCCCCCGTGGGGTATTTATGATCATGAGAAAGGTGAGGTATCAGCCAAGAACTACACGGGAGGAACTTGTTAATGATCTCAAGGCAGCTGGGACCACAGCCACCAAGAAAACTATTGGTAACACACCACACCATAATGGATCAAATCCTGCAGCGCCTTAAGGCCGACACCCCCTGCTCAAGAAGAACATGTAAGGGCCCATCTGAAGTTTGACAATGAACATCTGAATGATTCAGAGAAGGCTTGGGAGAAGGTGATGTGGTCAGATGAGACCAACATCGAGATCTTTGGCATCAACTCGACACGCCGTGTTTGGAGGAAGAAAAATGCTGAACACCATCCCCAACATCAAGCATGGAGGTGGAAACATTATGCTTTGAGGGTGTTTCTCTGCTAAGGGGACAGGAGGACTTACTGCATCGAGGAGAGGATGTGCGGGGCTGTATACCGTGAAATCTTGGCCGATAGCCTCCTTCCCTCAGCCATGGCACTGAACATGGGTCATGGAGGGGTCTTCCAGCAGGACAATGACCCTGAACATACGGCCAAGGCAACACAGGAGTGGCTAAAGAAGAAGCACATTTAGGTGAGGGAGGGGCCTAGCCAGTCTCCGGACCTTAATCCCATAGAAAATCTGTGGAGGGAGCTGAAGCTTCCAGATGCTAAGCATCAGCCTCAAAACCTTCAGGATTTAGAGAGGGTCTTCAGAAAAGGAGTGGACCAAAATCCTTCCTGAGATGTGCACACACCTGGAGACCAGCTACAAGAAGCGTCTGACCTCTGTGCGTCCAACAAGAGTTTCTCTACCAAGTACTAACACATGTTTACAAGGGGGTCAAATATTTATTTCCCATGGTTAAATGCAAATCTTTTATATAATGTCAATTTCTCGATTTTCTTTTTAATATTCTTTCTCTCATTAGTAAAATAAACCTAACATTACAATTATAGACTGTTAATTTCTTTGTAAGTGGGCAAACTTACAAAATCTGCAAAGGATCAAATTATTATTTCCTCCTCTGTATATATAATGTTCCATTGTTAGTGGAGCCTGGACTTCAGATTTTCATTGCCATAACTACACTGTAGCTACTGTGCGTATGATAATAAAGCCTTTGAATCTAGAATCTTGAATATGAGGAAGCAGCCGTTTGAACCAGATGCAGGTCAGTGGTCTCACAGTGTGCCCACCTGTCTGGGCAGCAGCTGCAGCCCCTCCAGCTGCTCTGGAAGAGGACAGAATACCTCGTCCAGCTCCTCAAATGCACACCTGGACAGTGCACATTGCTGATGGGGACTGCAGTACAAGTCTGCAAGGGAGAGCGAGGTACCAGAGGCTTTGAGCCCCCGTAGGCTAGGAGACCTGTGCCCCCCACTGAGAGACAGACTGGCAGAGCTACATAGGAGGTCCTGCTCTATCCCTGAGTCCTGCGGGTTGAGAGTGTGTTCCTGGTGCTCAGGGCTGTCCCCCGCACAGAGCGGCTGTCTCGCTCTCAGAGGGTAGCTGTAGTCCAACAGCGCTTGGTACTCCCTGTTAGGATCCCAGCTCGCGGTCTGTCTGTCCGGAGATAGAGGCAGAGCTGGGGGGATGGCACAGGCCCAGTACTCGGCCTGAAAGGGAGACACAGGATGTCCTCCAGAAGGGCCCAGTTTGCCCCCCCCCCGACGACTCCTCGTCGGATGCAGGAAGGCAGAGGTCAGCTGCAGGCGCACTGGGTGGTTCAGTCTCTGGACTTTCAGGTTGGAGCTGGAGAGGCTCTGCTGAGCGGATCTGCTGCCAGGGAGAGTGGACAGCCGGTCCCTGAGATCTGAAACAACCATGGGTGAGGCAAGGTCTCTCCTCCAGGGTGAAGGAGGGGACATGTCCCTGTAAGATAGGCTGAAGCTGTCTGGGCTGAGCTCCTCCTTCACTCTGCTGCAGGAGGTCCTGTCAGTGAGCTGTTCTTCTGGTCTGCTGACAGCCAACGGGTTCTCCTAAAGGCACAGACAGCCGTCATCTGTTACAGGGAAGGCTTTAAAGCAGTCACTCCGTTAGAGAAGTTCTGTAACAGCTGTATTCACACTCTTCACACTTTTGAGCTGGCTTTGCCTCACAGTGAATCCTCAATGTCATCATTCATTAGAGACGGTTAAGTGTCTAATATTAACAGACGATATTACAACGTATATGGGACACTGGGAGTAAAATCATAAGAAAACTCTCAGCCCTCTGTATAAAGCTCACAGTACAGTGTATATACAACAAGTCTGTGTATTTAAAACTCTTCATTTGACCTGACCATTGTTAGGGAAATTGTAGGTATGACTTTTAGATATATACAGGAGATCACATGACATTTATAGTCCTCATAATAAGCATAGGTCTTTAGTTAGATGCAGCTTCACTAAAGGGATAGATGAAGTGTGTACTCCACCTTGTCTGTGTGCTTCTTTAGGATGGACGGATGTTGATGTGCAGAGAACAGTGGCGTCCTCCTGACATACTGTCTGTCTGCAGCCACAGTAACACGTGTGTGTGGTGAAGAAGGACTGGAGCCTCTCCTGCTCTGTTCATACTCTGGGAGAAGCACCCCCCACCTCTGGCTGCACCCATTAGCTTCCATTGGACAGAGGAACTGTAGGAAGGTCCTGTCAACTGAGGTAATAAATCCACCTAAAACCTTAAAAAAAGTTTTTATTTGTTGCTTTATTTTGTAGTTTAATGCATGCACCTTGAAGGAACAGCCGATTTGTGTCCAGTGTCATGTTGCAGGGCGGAGTCCAGGAGGAGCACTGTGACTCAGGAGGGAAGCACATCTGCTAACATCTTCCTCCTTATGCTCCTTGTTACACACATATCTATAACGAGAGACAACCCCACAGCCAACATATCTCCTCAATTAATAAATAACAGAATATTGAAAGACAACATGCTTAAAGCTCCCATGTCATGCTTTTCCGGTTATTACCCGTCCCCTTGTGTGTTATGAAGGTTTTTATGCATGTAAACGGTGTGCAGAGTCACAAACCCTGAAAGTACACCCTGTAGCGAGTAAAACTCTAACACAGAAAATACCTCCCCAAAACGCCTCGTTGGAGATACGTCACTGCCCATTTGAGTCTTCCATTTAGTTCCGGGTACCGCCTGATGTCATGCGGTACCCGGAACGAAATGGACCAATCCCGAAGAGCTATGGCCACACCAGCAGCGGCGTGTTCCTCCAGAGGTTCGAAGAACTGGCATTTCACAGACGAAAGCTTCCAAAACATTGCCCAGTTTGAGGCCGGATATGCACAGCTTGTTTGGACCGTTTAGAGCAGGGGAAGATCCGGGTACACAACCTGTAAGTTTGCATTGTTATTTGTGTTTTTATCAAACAAGACTGTTTAAATGTGTAAACTGTGTTGGACTGCTAAGCCATTGACACAGTGCTAACTGTGCTAACTAAGTTGCTAGAGTTTCCATATATCAACTCTAATATCAGCAGATGGCCTTGCATACATGTATCTCATAGCAGGAGAATGTCTGCATTCACACACAAAATACCTATTGACAGTATACTCCGGGTGATTTGCCGTGCGGTCAGTCGCGAAACGTAATTACATTATAGCTGGCGTAGCGTGTATGCAACCGATCTAACACACGGAGCTAGAGCTAGAGCTAGGTTTGGTCGGAAAAACATTTTTGTGATGCTACGTTGCTAGCGTTTAAATATATCAACTACAATGTCAGCAGATGGCCTTACATGTTTGTCATGGCAGGAGAATGTCTGCAGTCACACACACGGAATACTCATACAGTATACTCCGGGTGATTTACCGTACATTGTGACAGTACATATACTGCATGTATAGCTCGAGGCTAGCTGTATGCTAGCGCAAAACAATGTATTCATGACCGTTACAATGTATGACCGAACGTAGCAGACTATCCGTATAACATTGCAATTATAAACACGTTATTGCTAGCCTAATATGAACCACTAGCTTTTGTTCATAGTAGTTTTATTACTCTACATTATAGTTGCCGTTCCTCCGAGCTAACGTTAGCTACCAAGGTAAACAAAGCTAGGTTAGCATATTAGCTGGCAAGCTGTTCATTAGATTGATTAGATAGATCCACACTCCTACCACAACTACTACTAACGAATCTAAAACAACTAAGTTTCTCTAATATTTTGTGATTTGCATTTGATTTCGTCCAGCCAGATCCTGCCGGACAATACATGACGGGGACCGGACTACCACACTGAGGCCTCGTCCTAAAAAGCCCCGGCTGCTATAGGCAAGATGCCGACAACGGGGAGTGATTGACGATATACCGTGTATATATGTATATTTACGTTCATTTTGTACATTTCTAAAAATAAAGTTTAATGGAAATACTATATATAGCAAACCATGATTTGATTTCTCATCAAACAGTAGTAGTTTATAACGGGTAAAAATAACTTACTCTTTGTTATGACCGGCTCGTAGGCCACAACGGAAAGACAAGGAGATACACGAGTTTACAAAACCACGGCACATTTATTGTGGTAAATGCAGAGATACGTGGTCAGGGAAGAGGATTGCTGTGCTGCTTGGAGGGAGAGAGAGGCTGCCGTGTGACTCCCGGCAGCTGGCTAGCACCTCGGCTCCGGCCAGGTGTCCGTGATCGCGCTGATTAGCCTCTTCAGCTCCACCCCATCGTAAGACAAAGGCCCTGGGGCCGTCACACTCTTCTATAACAGTTAAAAATATATATATGTATATAAAATATACGGCTGTACCGACGCCATGATAAGACTGATGTTCGGCTGAGAGCAGCCGTTTAGACATGGGCGCAGCCTCTCTGGTGGTTGACTAATCAGAACAGAGTGGCCGAGCTGACCAATCGGAGCACACTAGGCTCACAGGGAGGGGGGGGGCAAGAGCTCCAACGAGTCGTTTAGTGGAGAAAGTGAATACTGCTGAATACACATGCTTGACAGAGATGCTGTATGCGAAACCAATGTGAGTTTGGAAAATTGCACAGTATAAATCTATTTTAGTATACCTCAACAATGTAATTATGATCAGTGGAAATGGCCATGACATGGGCCCTTTAAAACACACACACACACACACACACACACACACACACACACACACACACACACACACACACACACACACACACACACACACACACACACACACACACACACACACACACACACACACACACACACACACACACACACACACACACACACACACACACACACACACACACACACACACACACACTCACCACATCCAGCTGTAACGGCAGCTCAGTTGTTGAAGACTCGCCATCTTTACTTCAGCTCCGCCCTCCGCCTCGGTTATGGCTAGAAAGGATCCGTCTTGTGTAAATATGACGTCACGTTCTCGTAGTAACTCTCGTTGGAGCGGCTCGGAAACACATCTACAGCAGTAACATGCAACATACACATTAATGCAGCAGCAATATTAATAGAGAAACATCAGACATAATAGTAAAACACTGAAAGGGAACATTTTATTGCACCAGGAGCTATCTTGGGACTTTTACTGCGACAACGTTGACTTGCCTGTGAATACAAAATAAACCATAGTGTTGGTGATCTACAGTGTTGTCTTCTTTGAACAGCAAGACCGCTAACACCCTATTTCAACAATCACACTCCCTGTAATTGACATAATTAATAGATAGTTTAGCTTCTCACCATCATTTGCTGTGGCCCACTGATGTTAACGATCGTAACTGAAAGGCTGCCTGCCAAACGTAAACATTCAGCCACGTGACTTGCAAACTCTCGCGAGAGTTTTACACAAGACGGATCCTTGGCCCGTTCTCATGTCTTCAAATGTCCCTCCTCGACTCCCCTCCTCGACTCCAATCCTCGAGACCTAGTCCCGCCCACAGGAGATGCGAGCGGAGGAGCCGAGGAGGGGAACCGAGGAGAGAGGAGGGGAAGCAGCAGGCGGTTAGAGAAATGAGAACTCCTCTCCTCTGGGCGGTCATTTTAAAGAGACGTCCAATAATGATGACAGGAGGCACAGCAGCCCTCTGTCTGATGGACAGATGTGTTCATGACCACTTATATATTTACTTTTAATTCATTCACAGTGCGGTATAATGAGACAATAACAGGCTACAGATGCGGACATACACACAGACACACACACACATATATGTATATATTTATATAAATATATACAATTTCAGAATCAAACAGAGCACTCTCATAATAACATAACACTATCAGAGACTGGATATATCCCCCCCCCCCCCTCTCCCCTCTCTGGTCGCTACAATGAGGGAAATAAATGACGGGCCAAAAGTTTTATTTACAAGTATTACAAGTAAGCAGAGGACACCAAACCAACTGAGACCTGTCTGTCCGCTGCATCTACGCACACACTGCACCACACACACCTACACACACACGCACCTACAGCTCCTAAAGCATATCATCAGCCTACAGCCGTTGTGTATTTTATTATGTGAAGCACTAAATGGTTTTAGAAAAATATCGACTTTGTTTGTAGATATCTACTAAACTAAAGCAAATAAAGAGAGTAGGCCTGTTATACTGAGTGATATGATATATATTATACACACTGCTCTGCTTTCTGCACGGACCTCACAGCTGTTCTCACTGTAAACATCGCGTCGCGATGAAAGCAGTTAATAAAATAATATCCAGGGGATGCATGCAGAGCTGTCATTGGCTGAGATCAGTCCGGCCGTGCGTCTCGACTCTTTGAAACATCTCTGTTGCCGGAAATGCATCCACGAAGGAGCCGTGGAGGACCGTGGAGGACCCATCAGTGTATCCTCGGTTATAGCTCCTCCAGAGAGCCTCCTCGACGCTCGATGCTCGGTCCTCGATGTGCATTTCGAGAAATGAGATGTCCTTCAACATGGCGCGCCAAAATTCATTTCCGGGTCACTACCGGAGGACCGAGGAGTCGAGGAGGGACATTTGATGACATGAGAAAGGGCCCTTGACAGCTGTCACTACCCGGGGTCCTTCTCAGGTCGATTAAATTGAATCCTTGCGTCCCTCACTTGCGTCGTTTCCCTGCGTTTAGTCCCTCTCACCAGGGAAGCATGGAGAGACGCAAGGAAACCACGAGAAGCAGGGAAATGAGTTTTAAGAGCAATGGGACGTCCTTTCCTCCGGAGCGTCACGTGAAGCGGCGTCCGTTTGTGATGACACTGCACAGCTGTTCGTCTGACAGCAGCTCTGTCCCCGTTATTTTCACAAACACCCCCGCCTCTGTTAGTACACATTTACTGACACAAACATTTGTATCATCTGTTCTAGAACCAAATACATTAAATAAAATAAGAGCTCATTCTCAAAAAAGATAAACGCCATTCTTAAAATGTATAAACGAACAATAGTTGGATTAATATTGATTAGAGTGCACAATAGAAATAAAATAATTGAGAGAAGAAAAATAGATATGTTATCTATCAAAACCCAGTTAGATTAACATTCATTGGATTGCACACTTTGTCTGTTTGTGTGGATATGTAGCAAATGAACATGTTAAATAGCACTTAATGACTGACTGAATGGAAATGACAATAAATGAAAATGTAAAACGAAAAAGCGATCATGAAAATGTTTCCAATAAATGAATAAAATAATTTTTGACCACTTTGTTGTTCAGATATATCACATATTTGTAACTGAATGATGCATTATTTGAAACAAAACACAATATAAACTGAGGAGTGAGTCCCGTGAGTTTCTCATGTCAAGAAGCATCAGATCAGTGCATGCGCTGCATCGTCCAATCAGTGAGCGATACACAGTAAGGGGGCGGGGAGAGTATCTGAGGATTTCACCGGAGGATGGTCTGGTGGTTCCTCGGTTATCGCTCGTCCATTATCGCTCCTCGCTCCTCGCTCCTCGGTCCTCCAGCAGAAATAAGAGCCATGGGACGCTACTCAAGATGGCGCAGACAAATCAACTTCCGGTGATACCGAGGACCGAGGACAGAGGAAATGAAAATAGTCGACCTGAGAAGGACCCCCGATCTGCAGCCCTGCCCTATCTGCAGTGCGCATGTGCGAGATGGTCCGCCATATTTGACAACTACATACAGCAACTCTAATAGGACACTTGACACAGTGGCTTTTGACAAAGCAGAAAAAGAACCGAGAGAGATGAGTTATTGTTATTACAACGTGACTTCACTATTATTTAACAACTCTTTTTATTGGGTTCTTTTATTTGGGGTTAAGTACATTGTCAGAATAAGTGAGACATGGATTTAACTTCTGTTAGACAGCTATATGCCATACATTTTTGCATACATTCACAGTAAATATTTATTCAGTATGATAGCTGTCTAACAGAAGTTAAATCCATTTCTCACTCATTCTGACAATTTAACCCCAAATAAAAGAACCCAATAAAAAGAGTTGTTAAATAATAGTGAAGTCACGTTGTAATAACAATAACTCATCTCTCTCTGTTCTTTTTCTGCTTTGCCAAAAGCCACTGTGTCAAGTGTCCGAGTAGAGTTGCCGTATGTAGTTGTCCAATATGGCGGACCATCTCGCACATGCGCACTGCAGATCGGGCAGGGGGACAGATCGGGTAGTGATACCCTCCGCCTCTTCTTCTTCTTCTTCTCTCGGTTTTTGACGGATTGCAAACAACTTTAATGTGCATACCGCCACCTATTGTACATGAGTGTGAATCATCATATCATTCCATCTCTTAACTCATGGACGTATACAAGGGTGTAACTTTGGTTTGAAAAGTGGGGGGGGACACAAAACAGGGGGTGAACAAATCCAAGAAAAATGTGTAGTGTATATAATGAGTGTGCACACTTATCTAGTATCCTATCCATGTGAACCTGTTTTATTTGTGATGACCTCACATCCTCTAGGGGGGTCCGGGGGCATGCACCCCGGGAAGATTTTTTCTTTAAATTGAAGTTAAATGCATCAATCTGGTGCACTTTGAGGGCAACATTAAGAGATTTATGGATACAGCTCTCAACACTCATATGAAACAGAACTGTATATATTTCAATAATCAAAAAACCATTAGAATATGATCACAACCAATAACACATCATTGATAAACTCCTCTCTCCTATCTTTATCTTACCTAGTCTGCATTCTTTCTTTTTATTTATGCATATTTGACTAATCACTCCCCTTTCAAACTGTGTTTTTTATTTTGTACTGACCTATAGTACACATTGGAAGGATTTCTTAAAGGTGGGGTAGGTAATTTTGGAGAAACCAGCTCGAGTGCGCTAGAATTTGAAAATACACAGCTGGAAAAAATCTGCCACTTCCTTACAGAGCCCCCCCTCCAACACACACGAATGCGCACATGACCAATGAGGGCACGAGATAAGTTTGTGCACAGATGGAAGGCTGACAGGCAGGTAGGCCATCCAGTTATTTTAGCCGGGCCGGCTAAAATGATTGGTACTACGGTACTACGCCTTCCACAGATGACATTTTTTTATGGATTTTTGCTAAACATGCTAACAACAACCCCCGTAACTCTCTCATTCTCTCTCTCTGTCTCTCTTTCTCTCTCTCTCTCAGTCTCTCAAAGTCCGACAGGAAAGAGCTCTCCCTCTCCTTATTGTTGAAACAGCTACTAATCTCCGTTAGCTCCGAGCTAGCACCAAATGCTAACAACAACCCCCGTAACTCTCTATGTCTCTCTCTCTCTCTCTCTCTCTCTCTCTCTCTCTCTCTCTCTCTCTCTCTTTCTATCTCTCTCTCACAAGATGCGCTCGTGCCACACACACACAGACGCTCCTCCGTGACGATGACCGCTTGCGTAAAAAAATAATAATAAACACATTTAAAAAGTGGGGGGGACACAAATGGGATTTTGAAAAGTGGGGGGGACATGTCCCCCCTGTCCCCAGTGGAAATTACGCCCATGGACGTATATATCTATGATCTAATAAAAAAATAAACAAAAAACATAAAATAAATAAAACAAAACAAAAATCTATGATATTTTCTGACCTAATGTTAAATAATTTTTCCCACCCCAGTTTCACTCAGAAAGGTAAACAGTGCCTTTCAGGTTGCTGTTATGCTGCGTTCACACCGGACGCGATGCGATGTTTGGGGGCGGCGCGATTACAGGTAAAGTCAATGCAGAGACGCGGACAGACGCAAATTCGCTCCGACGGCGAGCATGAAGCGGTGGACGCGGCGCGAATCACGCGATTGAGGCGATTGAACGGTGCCGCGTTAAACGCGAGAGTTCAATTTTTTCAACTCGAGCGTCAAATTCACGTGACGCGTTCTCGCGGAAGCCAATCAGTGGTGACCTAACAGAAGTTATTGAGTCTATGTAAGTTTACTGCTTGGCTCATATCCACCAACGTCAGCAATATCTCACCCAGCGGCGTAGCTGTGGGTGGGCCCACCCACATGCACGTCTGGCCCACCCACAGCGTTATAGCGCAGAGCCGCGAAGCCCAGAAGGAAGTGCCACAAACTGCAGTTCATCTAGTGGCCGACAGGGGATGGATGCAGAAAGGAGCAATTTCCATAGACCCCCATGTTAAAATGCCCAACTTTACAGCAGAAATAAACATGTTTCTAGCCTGGATCCAATCAAACTTATTCTGGATATAGTTAGATTCCACCTTCATGACAATGGAATACAGTAGGGAGTGCATTTTTTTACCGTGAGTAAATTAGTAAGTAAAGTAAGTTTTGCCGTGAGTTAAGGAAAGTCTTATTTCTTCTTGAGGTCTGCAGTGAAGCGTGTACACATTTGCTGAATATGAAAAGACTCTCAGTGTGTGCCCACTGTACGACTGTCAAGGATAAACAACCTGTGGCCGCCGAGCCAGTCATGTGTAGGGATTGTTACCGAGCCCCAGGGCTGAA